GGCCTGATCTCAACACTGATTTTCCATTCGCAGTCACAGATAGCTGACACAGCAAAGACTGTTGATCAATGGAAGAATACTGATTGGTTGAAACATTTGAATCTCTGCCAATTCAAAATACGCTCACAATACAAGGTATGCAATTCGTATTCATTCAAATACAGATTTATGTTCTCACAACCACATTACGTTAAAATACCGGTTCTCATACGATAATGAAGTAGTGACACATCATCTAAAGAAAGCTAGAGTCCAGAAACAAACAGTTGCCATGCAATGTCGATGACTGTATTCACATTTGATTTCTTCATACACCTGATATTTTCTTCAACAGTAGAATTTACTACGACACTAATAACACGTTAAACGAACAATAAGCACACGTACCAACACCACCACCTCTTGTAAGAAGTATGATACACACAGATACATTCACACTTTTCTACCACTATCATCTTCAGGAATTAAATAAACAGGCAGTACTAGACAAACACAGATGTGTCCAGAAGAGAATCCAGATTCCCGTATGCGCTGATATACGTACAGAGAAAAACATGCATACAAATAAACACATTAAAACCACAAGGCAAACGCATAAAAACTTCTGATGAAGCTTAAATAAAAGCGAAATATGTTAAATTTATAAACGTTTCCTATAATTCTGTCGGATTCTAAAGTATATCTGATCCAAATTCACACACAACCACGCACGCAAACACACAAACACAGTCACACACAGACAAACATTTATATATATATATATATATATGGTAGCAAATATATGGATATAGATCCGACAGTATGAAGAAAAAGATACGGAAATATATGATCACGTCGGCGTCACGTCGGTGATGTTGTGAAAACGTATTCATAAAGTATAGTATTTTGAATGAAAAATGAAAAGAATTTTATTTTGATCTAAAACTTATATGTACGTTTGCCGAGCAGTAATCTTGCTAGAAAACGGGAAATATTAAAGAAGCCAGGTCTAGTATTCACCGTGCGTGAGATAGATATTATGCCTGCTTCATAAATCCGCCTAAGATATTCGCCTCGGTAATTTAAACAATGCTTTAGTTGTACACACAACTAAATCTGATCATAATTTCGATTTTGATTCTGTGAAGATTTTAAAATATATTCATAATAAAAATCTTAGGCGGATTTATTGAAACGGAGCGCTGATCTTGAAGAATTTCAGCTGTCTGTTTTGATTAGTCTTACTCTTATGTCCATCATCTTTTCATGTTGAATTAAATATAGTCTAATGTTAATTATGTTATATGAATATATCCTGAAGATGGTCTACTAGACCGAAACGTCCGACGTTGACATTATATTAGCATTAAAACAGCATAATTACATATTAGGATTTTTGTTTGTTTTTTTCCGTATATTTTTTCTTCATATATATATATATATATATATATATATATATATATATATATAAAAAGGAAAACTATTCTTAGTAATCGTGTATCAACATATTATCCATCCCTCATAATGTTTAATATAAAAAAAAACACTAAACTAATTGAGTTTCTTTTTTCTACGTTTTTAGATAAGATGTTTATTGATCTTAACACCATTTATAGCAAGAATCATTGAAAAAATGCCCTCTCTAACCTCTAGACACACACCTATCACGTAAGATTTCTTTTTCCAATCTTTTTTCTCTGCTCTTTGTACTGTCATAGATGAAACACCTCTCTCACCTGACAAACTTTTTATGGATTGAGTTGGGTTTTTATTATTGATATTCTTAGCTCTAAGTTTAAATGATAATCCCTCTTCCTGTTGTGACACCCCCTGATCCAGTTTTCTTTTCTACTGTTCCCTCTTTTTTTAAAAATTATTCCACATTCTCTTGCTGATTCTTGAGTGGACTTTGAAGATGGAAGCCATAGTATGAATGTTTGTATCATTACTGAAGGCCTGAATGATGTTTCCTCTCACATTGGTCAGTTGAAAAAAAACAAAACAGTGGAGCTGACACAAAACGATTTTAACCTCTTCTCTTTCTAGCTGAATAACTCGAAGAATTTTTCAGTGATTCTTACGGCAAATGGTATCAGGGGAAAAAACCTGGTTAAAAACTATATTAATTTAGTGTTTTTTTTTCTTTTCTTTTTTTTAGGTATTAAACTTTTTGTAGGATGCACAATTAAACTGTAAGACGATTTGGACAATTTTAGTGTTACACCCAGTAGGTATTATTTTAATCTGTGATTATATTTCAACGTTCTTCTATGTATCAATTTTCTTCACAACGTTGGCGATTATGTCTCTCCTCCATTTCTTACCGTTTTTATCTCTTAGTAATTTTTTCTTATTGCTAACTTTCTTAAACCCTGTTCTGACAAATATTTACACAAGCACGTTAGTTAAGTTATACGCTGTTTTCCTTTGTCTCTCTCTTCCCTACACTGCGAGTGTCAAATCTTGTTAGGCTTCTCTCATCATTATTTCCCCTAATCCTCAGTTAAAGAGAACAAAAAACTTAATCTCCCATACGTAACATTACATTTTATACAAGTCCAGAATTTCTCAATTAATGAAGGTCATTGTTTATGTGGCTTTTATATTCTTGCCGCTTCTCTAGGGTGATGGTTTATATATCTTACTCACCCACGGTTATTCCCACGCGTACCTATTCTAGGTTTCCCTACAACGTTTTTATATATCGAGTGCAGACCCTGGAATTGGGTAAAGCATGAATCTGCAAGTTTTAATTAGGAGTACATCCATCTTGTTAATCCTCTGACGGCCTTGGATTCTCTGAAGATTTGTTGTAAAGTGCAAAGTTCCTTTTGACAAGGGGTTAGTCACACACTTATGCCAAATGCAATCCAGATTAAAAATCCTCTTGATAAATAATGAGAAAAAAATAGTAACCAGTTGAAAAAGAAAGAAAAGGGATAAAAATTACCAAAAAACAAAAAAACAACAACAACAAACAACAAAAAAACAAAACAAAAAAACAACAACAAAAAAAACAAAAAAAAAAACAATCTGAACAGAGATATCTAACACAAAAATCAAATAATATTTCAATAAAATGCTCTCATTGTCAAAGGTTTTGTTGGCTTACTAAATAATTATCCTCCCTTGTATATAATATATCACGTGCCAAGACGCACGAAAAGGATGATGAAGCTAGTCAAATGACTGAGTTTCGCTCAGCAGGCAATTTAAGCGGACATCTCTTTCTTTATCCCTCTCGGCTCAACATGTCTATCTCTGGTCAAAACAGTTTTACATCCATGTAAACTATTTTATAATACTTTTTTTCTCTATTTCTACTTGTCTGATATTTCCCAGTGTTTGTTAACTTACTTGGCAACACGAACAACTTTAATCTCAGTTTATGCTACTAAAAGTTTAATTCATGTTTGTTTATTTTTGGATAAATGTTTTATTACTTACTTTGGAGATTTCATATTTTCATACCATTCTATTTCAGTTTTCACGGTTACGAAGCCTGTGTCTCTATTAGATTCGTAGGAGGCACCAGATATACGGCAGCCGCAATTGGCAGTGGTACCTCCCTGGCAAGAAAGATTGATGGCGCCCGAAAATCTCCAAATTGTTTCTACTTTCTTTATATTCACTTACACGGAAATACCCTTGGGAAAGTTATGGATACCCTAGGGGGCACGGCGGAGTAATGGATAGCGGCTCGGAGAGCCGAGTTCTAATTCCAGTTAAATCCATTCAGTTAGGTGCTAATACTCTTAGGAAAGGTATGAATCCTCTTCTTCTGATAGGTAAATAGGAGGACATACCGGGTTCTATAGCTTTGGATGGCAACTGGTCTACCGCAGAAAGAAACCCACCGCGGGAAGAAATCTGCCTCGTCAGTCATGTATCGTTTAAGTGTGTATCATGCATAGCGCATAATAAAATCGTCCCAAGCTATGAGTTAATTAGTAAATCCTGTATTACTAATAATAATTATTATCCAAAAAATAAATAAAAAACTTCACCCAGTTTGTCCCTCTACACATCCACAGCTGTGGAGATGATTGATTCTTGCCTTTCACGAGGATGTTAGTGAATATAATGAAATCGACTGGAATTCGAACGCGGTTCTTCGACTCCACGGTCAGAGTCGCTATCCATTACTCCACCATGCCTCTAACTCAAACTTAAGTTCAATCAAAAGCCTTTACTAATGCTTGCTGAGAACATTTGAGGGAAATATTATTTTCCCTTATCAACATTTATTATTTTCTTTTTAAAATCATGTTTAATACAAATTATATTTAATTCATAAGGACTGCACTGATTCATAATTAAAAGAAAGTCTAATAGAAACACAATCGGAAAACGAAAATGTATTCTTATGCTAAATAATATTTGTCTATATCTCTGAGATGAAGTATATGATAGCTTATATTATTTACAGTATTCGGTCTGTTAAAACACATGGCCCAGTGGATAAAGGCATTGGTTAGATTCAGTAATTAGACCCAATGATTCGTGCGTTCAAAACCAGGCTAAAGCAGTTATGAACCAAAATTGGACAGTAGAGTTAAAGGGAAATAACTGTGACATCCGGAAGAGGTATGGCATGTGGAACTACAACAACTTAGCTTGGGGAACGAAATAAAGGGTTCAGTTCAAAATTCCAATCACCTGAAGAATGTCGGAGCGTACAACAGCCGAAACGTTGTGAATATGTCAATGAAAATGAGGATAACAATGCGAATAATGTAAGTAAGTAGATAATATTGTCGATAAAAAAAACAAAAAAAAAACTATGCCAAAATACTTTCTCTGCTAAAAATGGCAATTATGGGATTATATTTGATTGATTGTTTCGTTTTCTAAGGCTTTAAAGCCAGGAAATATTTTTAGATAGCGAAGGGGAAATTAGATGGATTCATACTTTTCCCAAGGTTGTTTGAGCACAAGGGACTATAACGAACTCAACTGAAATTCAGTTTCCAAATAAAAATTCTGAGCAATTATCTATTACACCACCCGCACATCTAATCTTACAGCACATGATATTCTCAAGTAGTCACCCATCTAGATACTGACCAGGCTGAACGTTGCTTAACTTCGGTAATCCTACGAGAACCGGTGTTTCAACGTGATATGGCCGTATAGCGATATCACCAGTCAGCTGACATTTTTTAACGAGACATCTGGAGGATGTTGCAGAAATCGTTTTAACGATTATCATCTTGACAAAGAATGTCTGCTGAATGAGGCGTAGCTCACAAGAACAATGTCAAACGACACTAACAAAGAAGATCAGATGAATAGAGAGGACTTGATGAATTACTTTTACAGACGAAAGCTGGCAGGTCAAAGAACAGTGTTTCTCCATAAGACAGTTATCCCTTGTAACCTACACGACAAAGTAGACGTTTAGAGTGTGGTCCGAAAGTTTTGTCACTCCTATATAATATAATTTTCTATTTCAGATAGCTGACACGAAAATGATGGTGTTTGTGTAAACTTTTTCGATGTGTTCCAGCGTCAATGAAAGTGAATAAACTGAATCCAGTACATGTGCTTTGTATTATTGTATTGTTATTCGGTTGTTCTCATTAATTGGGGTAGGGAGATACAAGTCTTTGAGACCACCCTTGAGGTACTGAACTAGCTCGATGTTTAACTCTGGTAATCGTACGGACACAGGTATTTCAAGGTGATTTTGCCAAAAAAAGACATTTTATTATAAATAATAATTAAAAGTTGGTGGGTCTTCAAAAAGAAGAGGAAATGCCTGATTGATAAAAATTTTGCCGAAAGTGAGATTAAGAAATACATTTTATTTTATTTTTTCCTTAATGATATGGAAGATTCTTTGTGTTTAACTAGCAGTATCCGTAAAATTGACTTGTTTTTTTCTTCTTTTTATGTACCATATCCTTTTAGGACGTAGGCGATCATGGCCCTCCAATTTCCACTATCTCTTGCAACTCTTAACAAGTCCCTTCCCTCGACCCATCTGCCCAGACCATGTTCTTTCATCCACTTGCTCAAACCCGCTAGGTATGTTACGCATTGTTTTACCTTATCTCACTTTCCCTCTATTCTACCCGTGATTATCAGAATCTCGAGGCCCTCCTTCCTTTTCTTATGCGTCCCAGAAACATCAGCTGCCTCTTTTTGATGTTAAGTATAAGCCTATCCTTGTTTCTAACCTTTCTAAGTCCTGATCTTTGCTCACACGCTCGGTCCATGATATCCTTAGCATCCTTCTTGTAGAACCACATCTCTGTCGTCTCGTGTCTCTTCTTCATCTTTGAGAAAATCGTCCATCATTCGCCGCCATAAAGAAGGACAGATGTCATGTAAAAGCTTAGTATTCTTTTCTTTGTTGCCAAAGAAATTCTCCTGTCTCGCCTAGTCTGCTAGGCGTTTTGAATGCGTCTTTGGCTATCCAAATACGTCTACGTATCTCAATGTAGCACTTACCGTCCTCTGTCAAAACACTTCCCAGATATTTAAACGTCCACATCTGCTTGACTCTAGTGTCCCCGACCTGCAAATAGCATTTCGGGCTCATCCTTTTACTGATGTCTATACATTCTGTCTTTTAGTTTATGCTTCGTCCCTTTTTCGCACTCCCTGCCGCTACCTTCTGTAGGAGATTTTGTAATTTCTTTTCCGTGTCTGCTATCAGTACTGTGTCATCTGCGTATCTCATATTGTCAAGATTGTGGCCGACAGTGTTAAATCCCGGTGGGGTTTCCAATTCTCTCAGAATTACCTCGCTGTATAGGTTGAACCGGTCGGTCGAGAAGACGCATCCTTGCCTTACGCCCCTTTTTATATTTGTATATTCGCTGAATTCGTTTCCTATGTACAATCATGCTGTTTGCTTCCAGCATAGTTTCTTGATTATTCTGATATCTTTCCCGAATATATCAAGGTTGATGAACATTTTCATCAGATCCTTGTGGCGTATTTTGTCTAAGGCCTTTGCGTAGACTATATTTTTTAATGGTTCATAATTCTTAATTCAATCATTGAATAAGATCCTTTTGGGGCCAACAAGTTTGAGCCAAAAAAGAAGCAATGTTGACAAAAAGTTCTATATTGGTAGGGCACATTGCCGTGGAAATTCATTTTTTGCTTCGTTAAATAGTTGGGCCTAGCATATTTAACAAAATATAGCATAAACAATAAAAACAAAAATGGTAGAAATTATCCAAAAAGTCATAGGGTGCAAATGTAATGATTTAAAGCTGACGAGTTTTTTTCACTCCACTGAAGCAGACGTTAAACTATTCTTTTTATTATGTTTCCTTCCTTTACATCACTAATTTTCCGACGTCTCGAACGTGCTAGCTTACTAATCGAAGAATAAGTATAATATAATTATTATTGATGAATACATTGACGTTTATGCCCAAAACCGACGAAAAGATTCAATACGATCAATCACACAACAAACACAAAGGACCCGATGGAACTGCTCAGCAACCTCTATATATTCGGAAAAGATATCAGAATAATCAAGAACCTATACTGGCAGCAAACAGTATTCATGCGCATAGGGAACAAGTTCAGCGAATACACAAAAATAGAAAGGGGCGTAGCAAAGATACGTTTTCTCACCCGACCGGTTCAATCTCATACATTACGGCCTTGTAAATGATTAATACAGATTTTTAGTCATTTCAACCCTAGCAAGGTGATAATACCGCTATGACTTAAGAGGTGACTGGGTTTTAAAGACACCGAGAAAAATTTAGATGGAACCGGAAACCCAATCCTAAACAGGAAGCAAGAGATAAACCTCTACTCAGGTTCAACAGACGAGTAATAAGTGCGAACCGGACGATATGCAAACCTGCTGAATTGTTGACAATTTACAACATAACGAAATTATATATTTTATTAATGATTAATATATAAATTTTTCGGTCTTAAGCGATATTAGATAAACTCATTAATCAATTTAGTATTTGTCAAGATTTACAAGATGTAAACCATTTCTTTTTAAACTCTATTTTTTGTTTAATATTCAATGTGCATTAAAATATAAAAGTTTTACAAAAGTAAAATCATGTTTCTGAAAAAATGTTTCTGATCGCCGCATATCGAATGGCACTAAAGAAAATACCTGTACAGTGTAACCCGGATATAAGAGAGTTGTCGGGACCAAAGAAGAAGTATCTTATATCCGGGTTTCTCTTATATCCGGGTTTGGTCTATTTTGTTTAGGTAAGTATGGGCTCTAAGTTGGGACCAGAGAAAATCTCTTTTATATCCGGGTTTCTCTTAAATCCGGGTCTCTTATATCCGGGTTACACTATAAAATTCTGCCAGTCGTATCTGATATTCTATGTAAGTTTATTCCAAATTTAAAAGTGGAAACTAAAGTTACTTTCTCCTTTGTATCTATGAGCATGCACAGCCTTGAAGTTGCTTTTCTAAGATAAAGGAAAGCAAGAAGTAAAGACTAACCATTAATTGCAAGACGACAATATGCATGACTATTATCAAGCTCAAAAGACCAAAAAGCGAGTTACGTTCTGGTGATGACAAAAGCAAACAATTACAGAAGTTTAAATATCCAGGAAATATTTTAGCTGAGAAGAGAAAATGTGACACTGATATCTGAAGGCGCATTTGAATAGCAAAAGATGACCAAAAAAAAAAAAAGAATTAAGAGGTGTGGGTGTTCAAAAAGAATAGAAAATGTCTGATTGATAAAAGGTTTGCAGAAAGTGAGATTAAGAAATATATTTTAATTTTTCTTAGTGATATGGAAGATTCTCAGAAATTCTACTCTGTTTTTTGTGTGTAATTAGCAGTATCCGTAAAACTGACTCCTTTTTTTCTTCGTTTTATGTGCCATGTCCTTTTAGGACGCAGGCAATCATGGCCCTCCGCCTCCTTCTATCCCTTGCAGCTCAACAAATTCCTTCCCTCTGCCATCCACCAGACCACAATCTGTCATATATTTGCTCAAGCTCGCTAGGTATGCCATGCGTTGTTTCTCTTTCCTTCTATTCGACCCACTAAGAACCAGGTTCTTCAGGCCCTCCTTCTTGATTATGTGTCCCTAAGAAATAAAAATATTTCGTTGGAAAAAAAATGACTACTGAACTGACATGTAATATCTATCCCCCTTTATGGCAGTAAATGCTTGAAAATTTCCTCAGAGAGAAAACTTAAGAAATAGGTTTCTACAGAAGGAAGCTGAGAATACCGTAAACGGATTATGAAAGCAAGGATAAATTTAAAACGTAAAGATAAAGAAAACAATAACATGTAAACTACAGTTTGTAGCCACCTCAGAATTTTCTATCCCCAAAATGAAAAATAGCTTTTAGAGTCATTGAAAAACGAATGGAATCAATATATGAAACTTATACTTTGAGAAAGTCATATAAAACTTTTTTTTACCCATGTATATTAATTTTCTCTTATGTAAAGTACAGGCCAACTACATTTGGGGCTAATTCTAAAAACTACCAGGGGTTGTGGTTTCAAACTTTTGGACTGTAGTGTATATTTAGAATTGAGAAGAGCATGTTGAAATTTTGGGGACACTTAAAAAAGAAAGAAAGACTGCAAAAACTGACGCCCACAAAGCTGTCTCAAAATTAAGCGGAACAGAAGTGCGAACAAGAGAGATAGTAAAAATAAAAACATTTCTAAGATGTACGAAAGGTCTGAAGCTGTCAAAAGCCATGTTGCTCCATGTCCTAAAGGGACAAGCACTTATTTAAAAGAAGTAGTTTGAAGATTCTTTCGTTTTTCTTATCCATAGGCTTATTAGTATGACTGCATAACAAATGAACACTGATTTAAATATTTGCGACTCCAGGATAATTTCCATCGATAATTTTTTCCGCGTGTCACTTTTTTAATTTGTATATTTTTTCAGTCTGTCATTATTGTCATTTTGAAATGAATCTTTGCTATTTCCTGTTTTGGCAGCAGGTGGCCATCAACAAGAAGGGATGCAATTAAATACCTAGTTTTTGGTTAAAAAATAATTGGAAATACTTTCAGGCAGACATCTTTGCAAATAAGATAAAAAACAGTTTCGAAATTGTTGTATACTTTTTACACATATGGTTAATGATTTGGACAGAGACTAAGGAGTTTATTTTTACAGCCATGAGCGGAAAAAC